ACATTTGGAAGGGGATGTATGAAGATGTAGGACTGACATTCTAACTAGGGAGAAAAAACAAATGTCCCTTCAAAATTTAATGTCTTAGGGTATTTGTGTGTGTTAAATAAGAAAAACAGAACCTAGGAATAAATTGGTTCTTTTCTGGAGGTTTTAAGAGGGGAAAGAGAAGTGATGGTAAAAGAAAACTACACTAGTATAGAAAAGAAAAAGAAGAGCGGGAACTTGATATTTCTTATAGTCAGTGTGTGAGAAGAGTATACAAACATGGAGGAAAGCGTGAAGGGAGTGAAGTTAAACAGATACACAATTTTAAAAAATATTTTCCCTAATTACATATGAAAACATTTATAAAATTTTGAGTTCCAAACTCCCTCCCCCTAAATGGTAGGCAATTTGATATAGGTGATATGTGCAATCATGCAAAATGTATTTCCGTATTAGGTTGTGAAGGAAGACAGATTAAAAAACTGAAAAATAATATGTTTCTGTCTGTATTCAGACTCCATCAGTTCTTCCTCTGGATCCAGATAGCATTTTTCATCATGAGTCCTTTGGAGTTGTCTTGGATCATTGTATTGCTGAGAATGGCTAAGTCATTCATAGTTGATCATCATACAATATTGATGTTACTCTGTACAATGCACTTTGCATCAGTTCATATGTCTGCCCAATTTTTCTGAAATCAAACTACTCATCATTTTTTATAGTACAATAATATTCCATCATAATCATTTACTACAACTTGTTCAGTCATTACCCAATTGATGGACATCCCTTCAGTTTCCAATTCTTTGCCACCACAGAAAGAGTTGCTATAAATATTTTTGTACAAATAGGTCCTTTCTTCTTTTTTAAAAATTTCTTTGCAATACAGACCTCATAGTGGTATTGTGGTATCAAAAGTTATATATTTATATAGCACCATTATATAGCCCTTTGGGCATAGTTCCAAATTGCTCTCCATAATAGTTGGATCAGTTCACAACTACACCAACTGGGAAATTAGTGGCCCAATTTTCCCACATCCTCTCCAACATTTATCATTTTCCTTTTTTTGTCATATTAGCCAATCTTATAGGACAGACACAATTTGGTGTAGAAAATACATCAACAGGGAAACAATTGGTGATGAAGGGATAGGATAAGAGGAAAAATATCAATGGGTAAGGAATAGTTGTAAGCACAACAAGCTTCCTGATCCTAAGGGGTGGGGGGGAGAGCTCGGAGAGAGAAAGAAAGCAAAAAACTTGAATCTAAATGTGTGTCCATCAATTTGGCAATGTCTGAGCCAGATTTGGTATGTGAATGTAATGGATTATTTTTTAAAGTTTAATGTGTTTTGTTTTTTACATTACAAGCATTTACAGATTACTCCCACTTCAGGAAAGGCCTCTTATAATAAAGTAAAACAATGACCTCATCTGAAAGTGTATGCAACATTTCTCATCTACAGTTAACCCCCACACACATACCTCTCTATTAAAAAAATAACAACAAACCTTGTTTCTTTCCCTCCTATTCCTCATCCCATTGGAAAAAAAGAAAAATCGTTTTTGTTTGTAACGAATATGTATAGTCAAGCAAAACAAAAAGTCATTCTGCACTCTAAATCTTGTAGTTTTTACAACTTTCAAAGTTGTTTGTTGTTATTGTATGAATTGTTCTTGTTCTAGTTCTGCTTATATCATTCTTCAGTTTATAAAGTTCACGTGCCCATTTGGAACTTATCTTTGTATAAGGTATGAGGTGTTGTAAATCTAATTTTTTCTATACTACTTTCCAATTTTCCCAGAAGTTTTTGTTAAATATCAAGTCCTTATCCCAGTAGCTATAGGTCTTTGTGTTTATAAAATACTAGGTTACTATATACATTTTTTCTATGTGTTGTATACTGAATCTGTTAAGCTGATCAATCTATTTTTTAACCAGTACCAAGTTGTTTTCATAACTAACCAGTACCTAATAATTTTCATAATTGTAGTGTGGTTTGAGATGTGGGACTTCTAGGCCCCCTTCATTCCCATTTCTTTTTATTATTTCTCTTGACATTATTGTTAATTGTTGAGCAATCTATGAAAGTCTCATTTTATTCAAACACCAAACCTAGGCTAACTGTAATGGCCTGAGTCGGGTTCTCCCCTAAGAACATAAATGGTTCCTTCAAGTGAGGATCAAAGCCAATGGTATAGCTACTTAGTCACTGGATCCTCCCAAGGTCTCAGGGCCTACCCCCTCAAAGAAGTGAAGATTAAACTCTGGGGAATGGACTGCTCCCAGCACGAATGCACCTATCTGCATTCAAACTTTTCTCTCTGCCACTACCATAACCAATCACCAACCTTTGCCACAGATTGAAGTCCTAGTTATAGCTCTGATCATCATGACTCAGCTCTTTTTCCTCTGATCCTTATAGATGATTTTTCATGTGACAGCACCGATCGTGATCCCATCACCATTCCTTGGCAATCACTGCTTCCTCTTCTGAATATTTACCTTCTTCCTCTTTGGAAGAGAGTTTCATATTTGTTTCTTAGCTCCAAACATTCACTGTTCCTTAACAGTACTTCTCCTGGCACCAAATAGAGAATGAGACAAAGCATGGAACAAACATATCATTAGGGCTCTGAATATCACAAAGCCCAATGCTCAGGGCCAGTGCATTTTCCACGCAGATGTTAAAGGATGACCCTTTCTGCTGTGTTATTTTTACAATCCTAAACCTATCAGAAGCTAGGAACTAAATCATCCTTTCTGAAAGTTCCTTCCAGGTGACCAGGGTTTTACAAATGTGCCACCCATTCTCACAAATATTTCCCCACCCCAGTCTATCCTCAACATAGGTGCCAAAGATATTTTCCTTAAGTGTAGGTCTGACTTGCATGACTTGTAACTCCAATGTGTCTCCCTATTACCTCCTTCATAAACTAGCCTTTTCCTACCTGGTTTCCAGTCTTCTTACACCTGGCTCACCTCCATATGATCCAGCTACACTGACATACTTATTGCTCCTTAAATACAACAGTCCATCACTCATCTCTTTGTCTTTGTATTGGCTGTTGAGCATGGCTAGAATGTACTCCTTCCTCACCTCGGCCTCTTAGTTTCCCCTGGTTTCCTTCAAGACATCCCACCTTCTGCAACTGGCTTTCTCCCGCACTGTTACCTACCCCCAGAGTGTCAGAGAGCACTTTTTAAGGTCAGGGACTGTTTTGGTTTTGGTTGGTTTTTACATGTCCAGCTCAGTGCCTGGAGCATAGTAAGTGCTTAATAAATGTCAATCAATGACTGATTGACAAAAGCCAGTTTCAGCTCCTTTATTTGCTGCATCTGCCCAGCACAATTGAGCATCTGATTGACCTGTTAGAACAACAGTCTTTTTTGCAATGGTACTGTTCTCTGCATCAGCCTGCCTGCTGAAGATCTGTGGTTAGGTTAATCTGGAGTGGCCCTGTTTAGGAGAATTAATGACAAGTGATTTCTTGGCCCCTTCCCTGCACATACCTGACTCTGCTTAAAGCTGACAAGAATGAATACTTGGTCCCATGACCTTCACACTGACTTAACTCTATTTCTCACTCTGTCTCTAATATATACACACTCACACTTGTCTCCCCAGGTAAAACAAAGTGCTTGAGAGTAGAGATTGCTTTAGTCTTTATTTGTATGCCTGGTACATACTAGGCATTTAATAAATGCTTGTTGATTGAGAGAAATTATTATAATGGGGAAAATTAGAAAGGCTTCGAAACAAAGGGTATGGAACAAACTAAAAAGTCATCATTACCATTTAGAAACTAAAACAGAAGGGCAGTGTCACTCAAGACTGCACAACCAGTACACACTGGAAACTTCTTTCTGATATCACAGATGGATGCAGCACTCAGTCTTCTGTTCCAGGATCCCGGTATAGAGGTAGCAGGGGTCAAAGAGACAAGAACTCTGGGAACCAGAAGATTGTCTTTGCTCTTTCATAGGGTTATGGAGCTAGAAGGGACCTGGGGAGGTCATCTGGTCCAACTCCACTTTACAACAAGCAAACCAAGGACCAGAGAGATTAAGTGTTCAAGGGTACCCAGGTTAAGAAAGTGGAAGAGCTGGGATTAGAAGTGAGGTCTTGGGACTCCAAGGTAATGGCACTTTCCACTACGCCAAACTGCTTCATGCACGGCCTTGGAGTGGTAGTAATAAGATTCGTTCTTTCTGGCAAGTGAGTCGGAGAGGTGTTACAACAAATAGAGCCCTGGACCTGGAGTCAAAGAAGCCTGAATTCAAATCTGCCCTCAGACACTAGCTGTGTGACTCTAGGGAAGTCACTTAACCTCTATTTACCTCCGTTTCCTCATCTGTAAAATGGAGATAATGGTAGTCCCTACCTCTGAGTTGCTGTGAGGATCAATGAGAAAATATTTAAGCACCTGGCACACAGTGTTACATAAATGTTAGCTATTATTATCAGCCTCACAGAGCAGACCTAGGAGTAATGGATGGGAGTGGGAGTTGTGGCCAGACAGATTTAGGCATATTATAAAAGTTCCTAACAGGTCTATCCAGGTTTGTAATGGGCTCTTGATGTCTAGTGGGCTCTGAGGATCCTTCCAATTAACATTCTGTGTGACCTTGGTTAAATCTCTTCCTCTCTGTGGGCCTCAGTTTACCCCCTCCATAAAATGGCAAGAAGTGGTGGTGGTGGTGGTGGTGGTGGAGGAGTTGACCCAGATGATTGCTACTGTTCCTTCCAATTCTAATAGTTTAACGAGTGAGTCCAGGATGAAGTCTCTCTTTTTCCTCTTCCCTACTTCTGGGAGGCTGGAGCTGGAGTTCCAAGGAGAACCACAAAGGTCAACCTAGTAGCACGGATGGAAAGGGCAAATCCGGGGGCCCTTCCCCCACCTGTTGCCTGGAGATTTGATGGACTACCCCTCCCCCCTGAGGCTGGGGCTGGGGCTGGGCCGCCGGCTTCCGCCGTACGTCATAGCTCTCCTGCCGCTTCTTTAAACGGCGCGGCTGCGGAGGCTTCAGTAGACCGCTGTTTCCAGAGGTTCGGCCTTCGCATCTCTCCGGCTCGGAACCCGTGGCTGCCTCCCGACCGGCGCCAGCATGTCCGTCCCGCGCACCGTGCACGAGTTCTCAGCTCGCCTGCTGGGCAGCGGGGAGCTAATGAGCCTGGCTTCTCTGCGGGACAAGGTCCTGCTCATCGAGAATGTGGCGTCTCTTTGAGGCACTACGGTCCGCGACTACACGCAGATGAACGAGCTGCAGCAGCGCCACAGGGCTCGCGGACTCGTGGTGCTCGGCTTTCCCTGCAATCAGTTTGGCCATCAGGTGAGCAGGGCACCCTAGCGGGGGGCGCGGGGTGGCCCCTCGAGTCAGTTCGGCCGTAGCCCTTTCTTGCCCAGAGAGGCCCAGGGAGGGGAAGGAAGTTGCTAGCAGCCCACACAATAGTAAGTGGCCGGCCCCCTGGGGCCCGATGCTTCCTCGTGCAATCGCTGTGTGCTTCCCCCCAGCACCCCCAACAAGTCTCAACCTCCGGGAGCCTTTAGTTAACTCGCCTGTAAAATGGAGATGGAGATACCTGTTGTAATGTGTACTTTACACCTTGCAAAGATCAAATGAATAACAAATCTGTGTAAAGCCTCTATAAACCTGAAAGGCGATATAAACATAGTATGTAGTTCGTGTGCCCCAGCGAACTCCTCTGTCCTGGGAAAGGGGAATTTGAGATGGACGCAGAGGTCACCAAAAACAAAACAAAACAAAAAAAAAAACCCTTCGAACTGCCTTCCTGTGCCCCCTCTTTCTGGATAGCTTCCATGCTCAGGCTCTTATAACAACTTGAAGGTTGACAAAGTATTTTCCTCACAACTCCTCCTCAGAGATAGGTAGTGTAAATATCATCCCCATTTTACAGATGGGAAAACTGAAGCCCCCAAAGATTAAGTGATTTGCCCAAGGTCACCTGCCAGCCTTCTTAGACTGAGCTCCACACACAAATCTAATTTGTTTCTCTCCTCACCCCCCATCCCCATCATTGATGGGAGAACCAGAACGCAGCAGACATAACAGTATTAATGCATGTTGCTCGATTTCATCATTCTCTAAATTTCACCAAAGCTGGCAGGAAATACTGGCAGCTGTAGGGAGGGCCGAAAGCTTTCCACTCCCACGGTAGGATAAAGGGAGGTGCCTTCCACAGAGGTATTTGGGTGTATTCACCTCAACCAGTATCCTACTGAGTCCAGTGCTTGGGGCAATGCAAGGTTAGATAAGAGCTAGCCTCTCCCTCATAGGAGAGCCTGGCACCAACTTAAAATGTAGATAACTATGACACAGTAATACTGGAGTCTGTTAAACGGTCACAAAACAAAGTGTTGCCTGAGGTCTGAGGGAGAAGGTACTTATTCATTGGAAGGGATCTGGAAGTCTTCTAGGTAGTGATGCTAAAGGATGAGTGGGATGAGGCCAATCTTTTGAAGGTGGGAGGGACCCTGGTAGGCCTAGGCCTGGGCCTTCTATTGTAAATCCAGTTCAGCAAACAGTTATTTAGCATTTCCGGTATGCAAAGCCTTGTACTCTTTTGGGTGAATATGTGAAAAATAGATATAACCCAGACCCTATTCTCAAGAAATTTACAATGTAGGGGAAAAGAGTTGGGAAAGATGATGAACAAGGACATTTTTAACTAGGAGAATACAGGACCAATGATTGCAGTTGGAAGAGAGACTGGGGGTGGGGGGGCAGTTATGGAGAAGTTCCTACCCCTGTTGAGGCCTTGAATGAACCTCAACAGATGGAAATTTGGGGGTGGGGTAGGGAGTGGTCAGAGTCGAAGCTCAGAATGGGGAGAATGAAGATGCCAGACTTGTTTGTCTAGAATAAAGAGTATATGAAGGGAAATTAACAGGCAAACCACTTACCTTCCTGAGACTCTGTTTTCTGAAAATGTCCTCTGGGGACTTTCTTTGAGCTGTGAGCTAGGAATAAGGATGTCTTAGCCTTTTTTCTTAGTGGAGGCAGGGGTCCTAACTTGGATTTTGCAATATCGGGCTTCTGCCAGGAAAGGATCATTATGACTCATCCGGGGGAAAAAAAAAAAAAAATCCTACATTGTTCTGCCTTACAAAGGCTTTCCCCCAAATGGAGGCCCAGAGTACCCTGGGCTAATTTTTTAACCTCCCTCCATAATATAACTCTGGTGTCTGATTTGCCAGGAGAATGGCAACAATGAGGAGATCCTGAATTCCTTGAAATTCGTCCGACCAGGCAAAGAGTTTGAGCCCAACTTCCTGCTGTTTGAGAAGTGTGAGGTGAATGGGGAGAAAGCTCACCCTCTCTTTGCCTTCCTGCGGGAGGCACTGCCAGTCCCGAGTGATGATGCCATCTCTCTAATGACCGACCCAAAGTACATCATCTGGTCTCCAGTATGCAGGAATGACATCTCCTGGAACTTTGAGAAGTTCCTGGTGGGTCCGGATGGCGTGCCTGTAAAGAGATACAGCAGGCGATTTGAAACCATCAGTATTGAAAAGGATATCGAGGAGCTCCTGGCTAAGGTGCCCAAAAAGGCATAATAAGGCCCTGTGTCAGAGAAGATGCAGCTGTTGCTCAGAGGATTCCCAGCTTTCTCCTCTGAAGTGGACTGTCTGGAGTTTGGCAGGAGGGTGCTAATGGTCCATGTGAGTTTTATCTATGATAGTGTTCTTTTTAAACCTTTTTGGAGAAAGAACACTTGATGCTACTTGTAAAATCTCCATGAGACTCTAGTGGCCTGCCTCGCCATTTCTCTGGATAGCTCAAGTGCCTGTCCATTCTAATAAAGTTCTAGAAAGAAAACTGAGTATGTCTTTCACTTATCAGATTTGACCTTTGACTTCCCTTCCTTTCCTGAACCCTTTTCATGTTGTCTCTTTGCTGAGATGAGAGACCGAAGCCTTAAAAGATCATCTAGACCACCCCCCTCCATCTTATAGGTGGAAGAGAATTTATTTGCCCAAGGCCATTTGGCTAGTAAGTGGCCAAACCACATTCCAACTCACATCTGTTGGTCCCACTATATCACCATCACTGCCACATTGCCCCTCTTTTCAGTAAGTGGAATTGGCCTCTCTTCGGCCTCCTTCCATTCAGATCACAGACTCCGTTTTGTTCAGCCAGTCATGGCCTTTAATAAAAACCAAGAATTCTTGTCCTGCCACGTCATGTACAATTAAATACCATACTTCTCTGCCACTTCCATGCTGAGTCTGACAGACTCTCTGTAGAGCACATGATCAAACAGTCCGCCAGTCTGGAATATTCTGTTCCCCATCTATAGACCAAGGCAAGGGCCTCAGGGAGCCCGGGTTGGGGGTGGTGGTGGAATGAAATAAGTGTAATTCTACCTTTTTCTTTTCATGATATTCCCCCAAACAACTCTGATCCCTGCCACCTATTTTTGCATTCAGAAAAGGTCAACTCCCTGGCAGAGGGTGTAGGCAAGTGATAATCCAATCTTTCTAACTGGCTACTGCTAAGTATAGCAGTAAATTCCTGTTAGCCTTAGATAACCTTTTTAGAGAGCCAAAAGATTGCTTTCTACTGTGTAGAATACATTTTTAGTGCTGCCTTTTCCTTCTTAACCACTGGCCCAGAGAGAACTTGCTTTGGAAACGTTCAACCAGCAAGCCCATTTATCACCTGCCATACATAGTGAGGCACAGACAACAAATTTCTGTTCCTGCTCTCTAGTCAGGGAGATATAACAAGTATGCAAGCATAATGACTCACAATTTAAGATTTACGGAGTGCTTTTGTTGTAACACCCCCCCACCCCACCTTGGAGGCTGGAGTCCTAAAGCAAAACTACCAATTAAGTACTTGTGTGTCTGGAAATGTGCCTGGCCCTGCAGATGTTCACACAGTAGTATGTTTGTCCTCTGTGGGCCTAGAACCTTCCAAGCAAATCTGCAAAGAAACTCATGAGTTCTAAGATAGAGCATTTTTCTTCCCCCATCCTTTAAAATTGATGCTGTATCTTTTGTGTGGTAAACTTCTATCTATAAAAACTTGCTGTAACTGAGCTCAGTCCAGTTGTTCTTTGCTTTCCACCTTGGAGCTGGCAAGCTCAAGGAATTTGTTAAGGATTTTATCGTGGAATAAGGACCCCTCCAATGTAGAGACAAAGAAGACAGCCCAAAGGCCTCTCTGGCCACACAGTCGTTTGGTTGATTTTTACTTAGACCAGAGGTGTCAAATTCAAATAGAAAAGAGGCTACAGCACCCGCCCTGGAGTCAGGACGACCTGACACTTTACTAGCTGTGTGACCCTGGGCAAGTCACTTTACTCCAATTGCCTCACCAAAAAAAAAAAAGAAAAGAAAAGAGTCTACTGAGGGCAGCTAGGTGGTTCAGTGGATAGAGGACCAGCCCTGAAATCAGGAGGACCCGAGTTCAAATTTGGCCTCAGACACATAACACTTAGCTGTGTGACTCTGGGCAAGTCACTTAACCCCAATTGCCTCACAAAAAAAGAGAAAAAAGAAAAGAGGTTACTAAACAGTATCTGCAGCTGTACTTTATGACACCTCTGTCCTGGACCTTAACCTGCCCTATACTTCTCCCTAAGATTCCTGAAGTGAGTATTCTGACCAACAAGCATTTGTTGAAATGCCTACTGTGTGCCAAGCACTGGGTTAGGAGCTGGGCTGATAAAGAAAAAATATGACAGAGTCTCTGCCCACAAGGAGCTTCTCTTCAGTAGCAGATACACAGATGAGTAAATACAAACTAAACACTGAATAATATTTGGGTGTAGGAAAAAGCAATAATACCTCTCCATTGAATCATACAATATCACAGCTGGGGGAGATCTTAGACTTTAGAACTAATCTAGTTCAACTTTCTCATTTTACAGAGCAAGAAAATAAAACCCCAAAAGGGGAGGTAAACTGGCCAAGGGGCCCAGTGAATTAATGGAACGAGAGCTGAGATGAGCACCTGGCTCCCTGAAGTCTCTTTCCGCTACACGGAGTTGCCTGCAGCGTTCCTGCTCTCTCTTTTGTTCTCATTTCCTCTTTATTCCTGCCATGTGACATTCCATCTCCTGAACCCAGGCACCAGCAGTCCCCCATGCCTGAAATGGTCTTCCTCCTCCCCACTGCCTCATAGACCCTGGGCTGCCTTTGAAACCTAGGGCAAACAGGGAGCATTTTTTTAGTCCCTCTAGCTACTGGTGCCTTACATACAGTTGCTTTCTATCTACAAAGTACGTGTCATGCATATGCCAATTTATGTACATGTTGTCTTCCCCATTAAAACATGGGCAGGGATTGTTTTTGCTTTTTCTTTGTATCCTCAGGCTTAGCACAATGCCTGGCATATAGTAAACACTTTCTAAGTGATTGCTTAATTGACCCCAAGCAAGTCAGGTGATCTGCATGGTGTTTCCGGTCTTTCGTCTCAGTTTTGACATCCATTGAATCTATTAAAAAGTTGGCTCTTCTACTAGAATACCCTTCATCCTCATATTCCTGCCCCTTTAAAGCTCTTCTCTATTCCCACCTCCTGGGAGCCTCTGAATAATATCTGCTTGGTTACTCTTTTTATCCAAGAATCTCATAACCCTCTCCCTCCCCCACAAGATTCTTTGCCCTATGTCTGCTCTCCTATCCACCCTCATTAATTTGAGTCATTTCAGATCAACAATTAAAAGGAAAAGGTACCTCCTGGAGCTGGCCTGAGCTTTCCTGAATCTGTGCCAAGACTGTATTCCTAAGCTTTCTCCCTCTTCCCCCAGCACTTATTCCCTCTGGCCCCAGGGCTTTCAGTTGAATAATAAATAACATAAATTGACATCTAATAATTAATCCTCAAGTATATTTTAAAAGAAGCCTCCTCCCCTTTTACAGGGGTCATTTCTTTGACTTTCTAAGTCTAACCACAAGCCTTGGGCATTTAAGGATGGGCAAGATGGGGGAGGCTGGGGATTTGGCATCTGGGGACTTAAGTTGAAATTCCAGCTGTGCCACTTACATGCTTTGTGATCTCGGGGAAGTCACAGAACTTCCCTGTTTCGTCCTTTTCTCAGTTTCAGCCTTTCTAAAATGAAGGAGTTGAACCGAATCCCTTCCAGCTCTGAATCTGTAATTTATGAAACAGCCTCCCTTGATTTACCCTACCCTACCTTTCAGAATTGTAAGGGGAAGCCAAAAAGGCTCAATCCAATTCAATTCAATGCGCATTTATTAAATCATCTATGTGCTAAATATTTACAGGTCCAAAGACAAAAATGACAATCACTAATTTCAAGGAGTTTACATACTTCTTTTGGAGTGAGGGTGGGTGGGAGGGGAATGTATACAGATCATAGGATCTTATATTTACAGCTTGAAGGGACATTGGTCATCTGTCAAGTCCACTGACCTTATTTTATAGATGAGGAACCTATGAATCCTCAGGTTAAGCGACATGTCCAAACAAGGCTCTCCAATGCCAACTCCAGCACTCCTTCCCCAATTGTACCATGCTGCTGATGGGGTATGGGCCCTGGAAACCCCTTCCCCTCTGAACTTCCCCTGGACTTTCACAGCACTCCAGGGCCCTGGTGTTTGCCTGGGGCAAACTGGCCCTTCCCAGTTAATCCTTTTAACTGCCCTTTCCTTGTGGTTCTCATTGTCTGCACCTGGCCCCACCCTAGACCACCACTCCTTAATCAACTCCCAGTCACCCCCACTCCTTAACCACTGTATATAAGTGTCCATCTTGCCCCCATCAAATGCTCAGACTTTTTAAGAGTCTAGCCTGGTTATATTGGCATCACAAATGCTCAGAATCTTAAAATCTGGCCTACCTCAACCAGTGTTTTAATAAAACCTTGTCTGACTCAAAGAAGGCTTGGGTTGAATTCTTTCAAGGCAGGACCCATGCTTTTTGCCCTTGAATTTTGGGGTTTCCAGCACCCCTAAACCGCAACACTGATACACACACTCACAAAGCACAAAGTCATTTCTGGGGATGAGATGTGCTAACAACTGAGAGAGTTTGTTTCAGGAAAGGCATCAGAGCAGTCTTACAGACACAATACTGCAATTTTGAGGCCTGAGAGGGGAGGACTGCTACTCAGCTGTTAAGTGACCTTAACAGCTAGGGTCCTCTATACTGTTTTGCCATTTACCCTCCACGATGGTGTCGGTGACTCCATCTTTGGATAGTCAGCCTGTCTTTGTGGGGACCCGATAGAGTCTTCAGACAGGATTTGAAAGCTACCATTTTAGAAATTCTTTCAGCTGGAATAGAATTTGGAATTCAAAACTTTTTTTTAAAATGTTAAAAATTGTTTTTACATGTAATGAGGGAAAATAAAATATTATTAAAAAAAAAAAACAACAAGCTTGGCCCAAGAAAGACATATAGGAGGACATGTCCCCCAGCTCCTTTGGAGAGATGGGTATGGAATATGGTATATATTGACAGATTTTTTTTTCAACTTATTGATTGATTTTGCTTTTTCCCCCCTCTTTATCTTTTCTAAAAAATTCTTTGTTGTATGGAATGTCTCTCTGGGGGAATAAAGGAGCAGGATATAAGGGGAAATTTAGGCTATGTAAAAACAAAAGATATCAACAAGATTTATTTCAAAAGAAAAGAAATTCTTTCAGCCGGGTTGCTTTTTTTTGAGAAGTTAAAGCTGACAGTCATACCAGGCTGCCCACCTCTTTCACAACTTCTCCGAAAACAGATGACTTCCTTCTTTCAACTACTTCAGTTGTCACAAAGTGGAATGCAGAGTCATCTCCATATTTTAGATACAGGAGCCCTGTTTTTTAGGTAACTTTCCTAAGCAGATTGTATCTAGGAACA